GATGACTTATGTATACTGCATTGAAACAGATGAGGGAGAGAATAATTTAAAAGCGATATATGATAGGGTATTATAGTTATCACAAGAGTCCAGAATTAAGCATAGTGGAGTGTACCTGGGGTGGTGGGAGGGGTGTGGGGGGATCGTATACCAAAGAAAGAATTTTTCTTTTACTTTTTCAAAGAGAGGAGCAGACAAGTAAAACCACCACCAAAGATTCCTTAATCATTTAATGTGTCTCTCCTTTTAAAATATCCAAGAAGAAAACTACTAAAAATTGTTCTAGAATCAACCTTTTCATAACTGCATTGAATCATCACAGTCAAGGAAAATAAGAAATATGGTCAATTATCAGTGTTTCACAAACTGATAAAAATCTTTGCCCTAAAACACTAAAGTAATATAATCTACCTGCCTACCTGCAAATCATCCAGTCTTTTAATTTCAGTAAACTTCATAAACTTGCCCTTAAAAATTATCTCATATTTCATCAGTTTTGTCTGTCTTACAACACCTAGGAAAACTACAGCAGCTTCTAAAATGCCCACTAAACTAATTCTCATTCCTATATAGAAATTAACTAGAAAGTATGCATCTTCTATAGGTTGTCTGAATTGAAGATTTCTGGTATTAAAACTGTATTTGATAGTTTGACAAACCTTTCTTTTAATGTACTTTAGATAATGTATTTGCAATTCATAATCCTTTCTTCAAGTCTTTAAAATAAAAAAGGAGATTAAGTACAAAAGTTAAGGATATCCTTTTAGTTTAAAAAAGTAAATCACAGAGGTAAAAAAGCTTGAGATAATAGAGGGTACAAAAAAACTGTTTTATTCTGTCTTCTGAATGGCTTTCATTTCTGGTATATAATACAGTCATATTATTTCACTAAGAGAAAGGAAGTAAGTTTTTATTGTTTATTATTTAATAAATATAAGATGAAACCCATAAAATAGTAACTTATTTTCCCTTTTAATCTAAAACTGATAAAGCATGTAATGTCAAATTATCAAACAAATCTAAAAACACAAAATACTGGAAAAGACACAAAAGGGAGTCCTCAATTATGTTTTAAAATAGAATTTCAATCATGACACAAGGGTAAAAAAATAAAATACAGTCATAGTATGCATTTCAAAAAACTAATAATCTTCTAGTAACATTATTTATAGGGGGCTTTTTTTTTTTTTTTTGCTATCAAACATCCTAAGATGTTAAAATTCTTTTTTTAAACCCAACACACCATTTTTTTCCTATGAAATGCAAGTTGCTATGAAATCCACTTATGGGTCACATTTCAATCTGAAGTGATCTCAAACAGCTACGGTACTGAATCCTTACATAAAGGCCGTGTAGTAGAAGCACTGCTTCCAGATCCTTATTTCTACTGAAAGCTTTAATAAGAAAGAACTATAAATAAAGGATACCCAAGGGCATTTATTCCTTTATCTACTTTCCTACCCTGGCCCAATTCCCCATCTTTCCCTTACATTCAGGCTTCCAGGAAAATGCTCCTCTGACACTAAGTCACATCAATTATATTTAACCAACGAAGGGTTAAAATCAGAGTAAAAACAATCTAAAATACATTAAATTCATAATTTGTGAACTATTTTCTATCCTCTGCTTTGTACCCTGACATCTAAAAGTCAAAGAACTCCTCTGTTAAGACAGAAATTCCCAGGAGGAAAAGGCTCAGATCCAGTCTGAGAGCACACAATGGAATCACAGCTGACGATGCACATCTTTTTCTAGATGTCTCCATATGCTTGAGAGGGCCTTACCCCTCCCCACCTCAGGCAGGCAAGCTTTAGGAGACATGCCACACATTCAACCACCAAGAATATGAGCACATTTTCTAGGACTGCTGTAATTTTCTAAGAATGAAGTAAAACAACAGGGTTTTTCTTCAGTACACAAGAGAGGCCACAAGTCACAGGGGCTATCAGCAACTAAATTAACTAATGTTGAGGGAGGAGGGGACGCTGGTTCATTTACACTATTCCCTATGCTTACAGTCAAAATGAATGTTTTATCTTTGCAATTTCACTATTATGTCACTACAAAGGCTCCAGTAATAAAGTAATTTATGTTTAGGTGAAGACCCAAAATAGTACTGGACTGAAATTTGCATTGTTGATTTCAAAATGATGTATCACAGCAGAACACTTTGCAAATCTTGCCAAACATTTTCCCTAAAACTACAGCACCATCAATTCTTTCTTCATAACCCAACAATAATGAAAGCTTGAGAAACCAATGGAGGTATAATAAATAAAGCACATACCACTCCTCCAAAAATAAATATGCCAAAATTACAGGTTAAAATTCACCTGATACATATCACAACATTAATGGATTCATTCTCTACAGTATTCATTCCTTCAAGTCCGAGATTCTACAAATCCCAAATGGAAACTGGTGCCTAACCTCACCAAAAAAAGCACAGCATATACACACAAACAGCACTGTAGCACTGTGCTTTTTAAAAGACTGCTATTCCTGGGGAGCAACCGGTGCTTCCCAAGGAGAACCAAAGACCAGCCTTCCCCATTCCTCAGTGAAGAGTCAAGAAACTCACTTGACTGGACTCCACAAACAGCCCACAACAGCCAAAGATGTCCCTAACCTTGTTTAAACCAGAAAGGTATCCACACACTGAAAAGTGAAATCTTTTCAAGGATCTTTCGTGTAACTTAATTTGGCAACTACGATTTACTGGGACTTGTCCTGTAGACAAATATTCTTTGGCAAGCTTTGATCCTTAAATACCACTTTGTTTCTCAGTGATGCTTTAGTAGCTAATTTCATTTTGTTTACCCGAGAGTCCTCGCCCTCTCCCCCAAAGAACATACCATAAATCATAACTTTATTCTAATGTCATCCTCAGATGCCGAACTTTCAAGTGCACTTTGGTAACTTGCCGTCTATTAACACCAGGACGGCAACCAACAAAGCCGTCACAAACAATGATGCCTTGCATTCTCAATCATTTCACATAACTACCCTAATGTCTTCATTCTCAGGGTATCCTTTCAAATTTCACCAAAATTTTTGGCCGGAGAAATCGAGGCAGAGTTAAACGACAACTTCTCTGATCCTTAGCACACAGCAGACGCCAAGGTCTAGAACACAATCACTACAGCAAATGCCATTTTAGAAATAGGCCTTGGGGGATTGCGGCCACAAAACCTAAGTGGCTTCGGACTTCATCACGCTTTAGATACCATCTCTCGTGATACGAGAGACTCAGCATCTCACGTATCTCTAGGTGTTTTCTAGGGTCTGAGCCTCTAGAAGTGACACTACCCGACAGATCCAAGAACGGGCGACTAAAGATGGAAAAGAGTGGAGAGCTCTTGTTGGCGTCTCCATGACTCCCCCGCCCCGCAGGCAACTCTGCTCTAACTGGTTCAGAAGAAACCCGCCCCCTTCCTTCCCCCCGTTCCTACGATTGGCTTACCCACAGCCGGCAGGTCAGCTCCCTGCCTTCAATTGGCTCATGGCACCATCAATCAGTCGCAGCGAGATTCGGGTCGGAGGGAGGGGAAGGCGTTGGACGAGGTAGAGTGGGAGTGGGATTAGAGAACGAGGTGGCAGGGGAGGATGTTCGGGTTCGGTCTCAGGTTTGGGAAAGTTTCCCAAACCGCGACCATCCCAGAAGGCCTAAGGCCCAGTCCAAGTCCAGAGCAGTGGGGCAGGCTCCGGCCCCCCGATTCCCGCCCCTCGGTCCCGCAGGCCCCGGAAACCACTAGAGGGAGGGGATTAGGGAGGGACCATTTAACCAGGGACAGACCCACCCCCGATCTCGGAAGAGGCGCCTCCGGGACTCCCCATAGGGGAGGGGGGTGGGGAGCGCCAGTCCGCAGCGACGACCCCAGCCCCCTCCCCCAGCAGCCGCCCAGGGGCTGGAGAGCAAAGTGTCCCCAGCCCCCGGCGTGACCGCAGCGAGCAGTCCGGAGGGCCCCTCCCGCTTCCCGCCCGGAGCCCTCGGGGCCTGTCCCTTCAGGGGCGGGGAGAAGGGGGAGAGAAAAAGGGGGCGCTGGCGAGCCAACCCGGAACCTCCCGGACCGCCTCCCGCCACCGGCCCCAGCGCGCCTCCTGCACACATGCCCGCACCCAGAAAGTTAAGTCAGGGGCGAGCCCGGC